AGAAATTCGGTAATAGGATCGTCCGGGTCGTCTAGGACATGCCTAGGTCGTCGGTATTGGGCAGCGACATCTTTCTGTGGTGTGTACGTGGCGGCGCTAACGATAAGAGGGTTCTTGTGGTTGATCGCTTTATCAAAGTAGCGGCGAGAGGCTTCTTTCATAAAGTGATCAATCGATGGGATCTCGAAATCTCAATGGAGATTCGTGTTACGCACGAACCACGGGGCATCCGCGGCTCGGCGTAAGAATTTGTTTTGGAGGGTCTGGAATTTCTTAAGGACTGTGCAGGAAGTGTGAGCAAACACCGGACTGGCGTAAGTCAACACTGGACGGATGCAGGTTTTGTAAATTGTCAACTTATTTCTAAGTGACAATTTACTTTTCCTTCCAACTAGGTGGTAGAGTCGGTGGGTGTAGTGGTTCGCAACGGCTCAAGACGCGTCTGAGGTGCGGAGCGAACGATAATCTCTGGTCGAGGGTGACACCTAAGTACTTGGCCTCACTCTTCAAGGAATAGTTTGGTCAAATAAGGTGAGATGGGTGGGGACATTAGGACGAGTGCGAACCGGAGGACGTTTCGCAGACAAAGCCCTAGAAAAGTACATTGCTGCACTTTTTTCGGGATTTACCTCGATACGCCACTTTCTGAACCATTCGCCTAATTGTGTGACTGCGCGTTGGAGCGCCAAGATGACGTAATTCCGATTACGTCCGGACTTGTAGAGTGCGGTGTCGTCCGCAAAGAGGGCTAAATCCGTATTCGGATATTTGGGGATGTCATTGACGTACAATGAAAAAAGAATGGGTGCTAGATGATGTCCAGGGTCCTGATGATGGAGTCAGGAGGTGGCCATGGGAACTCCTAAACGAAACGGCGGAATCTTATCGAGTTTGGGCTCGTTGGATTCGACTTCTCGAGCACTTTGGTGCTTAATAATGACCTAGAGATTGAGATACAACTAAAAAGTGTAAAATAAAATTATAATAAAAAAATACTTTTTTAAAAACAAGCTTTATCCTGAAATGCAGTTGTACTAAAACGAAAAAAATAATTGTATGCTTGGTTCAAAGAATTTTGAAAGCTTGTAGCGCAAACAGAAAAAAAAGAGGAATAAATTCCATGCGCGATACAAGCTTTTGAAATTCTTTGAACCAAGCATACAATTATTTTTTTCGTTTTAGTACAACTGCATTTCAGGATAAANATTGTGGAGTAGTTGGCGTGCTTAAGGCAGTGATGTCTGTGTTCAGAAATTCGGTAATAGGATCGTCCGGGTCGTCTAGGACATGCCTAGGTCGTCGGTATTGGGCAGCGACATCTTTTTGGGGTGTATACGTGGCGGCGCTAACGATACGTTAATCTCTGGTCGAGGGTGACACCTAAGTATTTGGCCTCACTTTTCCAAGGAATAGTTTGGTCAAATAAGGTGAGATGGGTGGGGACATTAGGACGAGTGCGAACCGGGGGACGTTTCGCAGACAAAGCCCTAGAAAAGTACACTGCTGCACTTTTTTCGGGATTTACCTCGATACGCCACTTCCTGAACCATTCGCCTAATTGTGTGCATGCGCGTTGGAGCGCCAAGATGACGTAATTCCGATTACGTCCGGACTTGTAGAGTGCGGTGTCGTCCGCAAANACAGGTCACAGAATTTTTAATGTCCAATTTCTTGATTAACAATTATGATTATGTAAAATGAAACAATCGAATTTGAATCCTATTAGTAAGTCCTCCAAACTATCGTATCTCGTACCGTAACTCCATTTAGCAACAAAGTAAGCAACTACCCACCGCCAGCCCTGCCTTACATAATCCGCTAAGTGGGGCAGCCCACAGGGAAACGGTTTAAATCTTCACGCCGATTGCCTCGTCCGGAAAATGACCGCCATCACTCACGGCGTCATTAGTGTGTGTATCAGCCACGGTGATGGAGAACAGCCACTTACTTTGATTGAAAAGTGAATCTTGAGGCTGCTCCATCACCCAACCCCCTGGTTAGACGCCTCAGATTTAGTAATATTGGTGCAGGACTACTTCAGAAATCACGAATAGAAAGAAAGAAAGTAGAAGAAACAAAGAAAAAATATTTATTTGACAACTAAATAATACAAAACACATCAAAACAATGGAGATAAAAAATGATATAAAAGAGGTTGATATAAGACAGTTGACATGTTACTGCCAAGTGCCAAGACACTGGTTTTCTGTGGGTACCTTGTAATAGGAGATGGAAGGAAAAGATAAAAAATAGTAGTGGTAAATGCAGATTAGAGATCCTTCTTTCATGCTAGCGACTCCCAAATAATCAGATCAGATCGATCAGAGATCGCCAGAATGCCACTGAAAATAGAATCAGTATCATCTTGACAGTTGACATGTTACTGCCAAGTGCCAAGACACTGGTTTTCTGTGGGTACCTTGTAATAGGAGATGGAAGGAAAAGATAAAAAATAGTAGTGGTAAATGCAGATTAGAGATCCTTCTTTCATGCTAGCGACTCCCAAATAATCAGATCAGATCGATCAGAGATCGCCAGAATGCCACTGAAAATAGATTTTCCATCATCAGACCAGGTCTATGTCAGTTCAAACCTATACCGGGGTGTATTTCAAAATTTATTTAGATGGCTGTTCTCGTTGGCCAGTTAGAAAGACAGATAAGTGCGCGTGCGCTTATTACTGAAAATTGAAGCTTTTTAATTGATTTAATTCCTTTTTATAATAGGTACCTATTATCATGCCATGGTTTTCATGGACCTTTATCTTTAAACGCGTGTGTTAACTCTTACTTCAATTTAATTCGCATACAGATACAGATTTCGATTCCATCAGCCCGACCGTAACAGTTTTATTACGTGCACGTATCAATTTGTTTTAACGCGCAGATTCTGTAATGCTTTTATATTGCATAGCATGCCTTGCGAAGTCTTGCAACTGGTGCGTGGTGATGGATCTGTCTGTTGATAGTCAGGCCGATCTGATTCACTTTATGAAGCAGCTAAATTTTCAATAGATCTTTCGATCTTTATTTAATTTGAGATCATCAGATATGCATTTTGCTGGAAAAGTAGAAAACACGTTTCATAGGAACCTGCATAAAATGCTCTCTTTTACTGTCAGAACATCTTTGGAAGAATATAGGCTAAACATTCAATATTGAAACGTTCTTTCGTTAATGTGCGAGTTGTCAATATCCTGGTCAGACTTTCTGAAGTAAAGCTCTGAATCATATCGAGCAGTTTCGTCACAGAAAACTGCAATGAAAATTCCGTATTCACTGATACATCTCTCTTGTTTTCACTTGTAATAGAGAATACATAATGTACTGTTATAGGGCCTTATTTCCGTACATCATCACTGCCATTCCTAGTTAAGATCAATTGAAATCAAATGTGTTCCTCATATGTGCTAATCTCCAAGCATAGTTTCCACAGTAATTATCACAGCGCACAAAAACGCGGCACGGTCGGATTTACGACCGAAAGCAACGTTGCGTGCGACCACCCGACGATAGACGGACGTTCCACGTTGATTGTATCCGATTTGGGCGGTGCTGATGATTAATAACGTGATTCGTCAAATCGATCATCGTCCGGATATAGGATTTACAAACAGCTATTGTTACTAAGTTGAAGAAAAGTTTCCTAATCTAAAAAAAAGGGAAAACTGATTTAATTAAAACGCTGAAGTGGTTTTGTGCCTGTTCTCTTTCTCTACTCAACAGGCACATAACCAGTTGCCAGTTATTTATTTTTTTATTTTCGACACTTTTGCGATTTTGGTTATCTTCGTTATTTTCATGTAAAGTCGACATCACATAAGACTACATTTTGTTGCAATAAATCACCTTTAAAGTAAAAGTACAGTCACGGAATGAAAAGGTTCGTCAGTTTTCAAATTGATTCCTTCAACGAATCGCGAGCACATATTACCTTTTGAAACTATGTTACAGAATAATCTCGAGTTAGAGAAAATTATCTTTAACTGTTCGTCAGTAAAGTTCAAAATTATTCAGATCAAAGTTGTTTGACGATTTATCTTGTCAAGAAGATTATTATGATTGTTAAACTAAAACCTTCTTGTTGGTTCAACCTGCCATTATTATTTCTATTAAATAAAAAAAAACTATTGTCAATTGGTCAATGTCATCATTGCATTGCACTGATGGGATAGAAAAATAAACAAGCAAAAACTTATTCGTTAGCAAACGTCATATTTATTTAAATGTTAGCAGCACTGTTTCTTGCACTGTTATGTTGGCAGGTTTGACTCTTACAGTACCTAGTGCAAGCGAAAACCGACACTAAGGTGACGAACCTTTTCATTCCGCGACTGTACATAGTACGATGCCATTATGTTCAGTTTGACGACTTGTGGCAAGTCTGCGGTACGAATTTTTCCGGTTTTTCTTTCACAAAGTGCCTTTTCATCAAACCCAATCTAGAATGTTTGCTTGCACATTGCAAGTATTGCAACGCACACATTTGACATTTCTTTCCACTAATAACACACCATGTCGTAATATTTAAACTCGCTAACTCATCTCTCTCTTTCTTACCCACAGCTCAGCCAACGCCAAGAAGTGGGAGGTGGAATTGGCAACCCTGAAGAGCAACAACCTGCGACTGACAGCCGCCTTGCAAGAGAGCACCGCCAACGTTGATGAATGGAAGAGGCAGCTTCATCAGTACAGGGAGGAGGTGGCTCGCGCCAGGCACTATGCTGGAAAAGGTACGTAGTTCTGAGTAGCGATAACAGATGGCGTTGTTTAATGTTGGATTCATGCGACAAAAGAGTATTGCAAACGACGAGCGGGAAAGTAGCTCCTCTCTTATGTAGGGAAAGGTGAGTACGTAGTTCACTGTGGTGATAAGAGATGGCGTTGTTTGAAGTATGCATCATGCTGCAACGTTTCAAAATGAAAAACTAGCTCGTCAAACTTAAAAAAGAAGTTGCTCATTCTAGACGCTATTCGAAAAAAGACATTTAGTTCTTAGTGATGACAAGAGATGACGATATTCGCGGTTACATTCGCGCTGTAAGAGATCACTTCAATCGTTGACAAGTGGAAAACTTGAACGAACTCAAAACGTTACACGCATGATACTGCTGAGGCTAACGGTAGTCCTCAAACCAGCTAACAGATGGCGCTGTATACCATAACAATAACTCACAAAAACCGTTGTTCTCATTGCCACTTCAACTAACCAATCTGTCGGGCAATGTCAGCGAATTTAGTTCGTTTACGGATCTCATTTCTGATTCGATCTCGTAAAGAAACGCCGAGGATAGCCTTTGCCATAAAGATAGCAGTAAGGCGCTGGATGCAGGCCGCTTCCAACCGGGCGATGCGGAAATCATTGACGTCATGTGGCTGAGATGATGATGATGATGATAGTTAACTACTTGCTAGTAGCGAAGACAGTGGCGCCAGCTTGTGAGCGCTAAAGTGGTAGGAGGACTATCGCATTTGCACTCATCAAGATGGCGCCACTGTAGAGTAAAGTCCTGTCAATCGCCAGGGGTGCCAACTGTTAAGTATAAAAACGATAGCCCTCATTGAGTCACACATAATCTATAAGTATGCGTCGGCTGTCTGTGTGCTGAGGCTATGCGCCTTCTTTTCCTCTGCAAATGGACTCCGCAGAATACCAGTCGCCGTGACGAGCTCTGCGCCGTCACTGCCTTTACTGAGCGGAGCCCAATTTGGTACCAAAATTATAATTTTTTTTTTTAAATTATATATATTTTTTGTTTTGTATTAGAATAACTTAAATATTGTGTAGGTTTTTAAGTGCATGTAATTTGGTGCCAAATAAACATTTTTTCTTTCTTTCTTTCTTTCTTTTAACAGATGGCGTTGTATACCATAACTATAACTCACAAACACGTTGCTTCCAGGCGCGGAGGCCAACGAAGTCGAGCAACTGAGGCAGCGCGTGGCGCAACTGGAAGCCGAACTCGCTCAGAAGAATGAGGAGCTTGCGCAGATCACCAAGTCGCGCAAGAGCGAGCAGGTATGTCACATGTCTTTGTCTCACAAATATGACTATCGCGCTCTTATGTTTCTTATCTTATGTTACCTTTTGTCTTTATGTTATGATTATGTCCGTTGTCTAGTACTCATATTTTTCAAATTCAAATTCAAAACGTATATTGCATGTCACATTACGATTTATATGTTGTTGACAAATATAAATGTTCATAGTAGGTACAAGCTTTGCTTGGTTTTTTTTATCCTCAACGAGGAAGCTCTTGGCCTGTATCTCACCTGATGATAAGTGACGACCAGGCCGAAGGTGGAAGCGAGCTTCACCCGGAATCCTCAACCACGGAGGAACTGGCTATCTTATCTCTAACTGCCGAAACACAGTAATGCGGTTTGGGACTAAAGTGAGTCTAGACAAAGTGCACAGTATAATCTCAAACCAGTCGAAAAGTGGTCGAAAGGCCTTTTTTTGTATGGAGTTTTGACGGATTCGATTTTCGATTCGATCAAAAAGTGCAACTTGTCTAGGGTGGCAGGTGCTGTGTAAAATGTCAAAAGGTATTTATTTATTTATTTACGTTACAATTGATAGGCTTTCCCCAAGAGGGTTGCACCATCTTACTTTAATAAACGTCAAAAGTCAAACTCCATAAAAAAGCACCGGTTATGGCTAGTCATGGTTAAAATAAAAAGTGCATCTCGGCCTAAATAAGTTTTTGCCGGATAATGCATGAATAAGAAATCTATTTTTACATCAAATGTGGTATGAAGATGATGGTTTTTACAATGTTCTCGCGTGTAGCCTTTTAGAAATAGCATGCAAATTATATAATAATCGTATTTAATTTAAAATTAAGCATGTCATTACGATTCCATATTCATTAACATTTTATTTTAAGGCTTGGACAAAAAACTCGTTTTTTCCGTAACCCTTCAACCTTCCGCTAAACATATCTCCTCTTGCCGCGACGCTTCGCCAATCACACGGATCGAATAAAATAAAGTAACGAATCTCTCTCAATATACCTACCTATTTAAATATGTATCTCGCGCGCTAATACGAAATGTGAAAGTGCTGAGTGAATAAAATTGTGAAGTGAAATAATTGAAGAACCGAGACGCCAAATGCTGAGCCCTCCTACCCAAGTATCCTACCCGCTTCTCATTCCAAAATATCCTACAGGACAGCCTATAAATTATAGGTGCCAAACCTTGGCCAAAATTGGATAGTCATTTCATTTTATTACCAAGAGGCGATCACCTCTCTACTCCATAGTTTCAGTTCACATATTCTCTTGGCTTCATCTATTACGTTTTTTGGAATTGATTTAAATTGTGTACTTGTAATATCTAGGTCTTTTAATATTTTCATGATATAAACTTTATAGGCACTAGTTTTTTATTTATTAAAATCTCTTTTGTTTTGTAGGACGCAGAGGCTAAATTAGCCCAAAGCCAGCTGGAGTTAGCGCTTGCAGCCCAAGACGGACAGAGGCAGGTCATACAGGCGCTCAACGACCAGCTGGCCAGGCAACTAGAGGAGCTGGTGAGTCACTGCGGAAAAAGTCCTTATTGCACTGGGAATAGTGTCTAAATTGGTTTGGAGTAGGCTGGAGTTAGCATTCAGTCCAAGACGGACAGAGGCAGGTCATACAGGCGCTCAAAGACCAGCTGGCCAGGCAACTAAAGGAGCTGGTGAGTGGCTGNACAATCACTGTGAAATTTCGGGAGACAAACAGTGTTTTGGTAGACAAAATCTCAATGTTTCCCTGACTTTCCAGGTGACCCCTCTATTTCACTGACTTTCCCTGACTGCTATGAGCTTCCCTGACTTTTCCCTGACTTTCCCTGACTTTCCAGAATGTGGACACCCTGATTAATCATCCGAATTGTTGTAAAGTATACATTGTGTCTGCTGAAAATGCTCAACAATACGGATGCAGAGTTTGGTAAACTGGTGTTGTATAAGTCAATCAATTAAATTATTAGAATGAGTCTTTTCATCAGCCATCGACAAGTATGAATAAATATAATGGCCGGGAAAAAGAAACTGGTGTTATGGAAAGATAAATTAAAAAAGTCTATTTACGCTATTATTACAATCGTCACTAACTGATACTCCCGTTAACCTTTCGTGGTAAGCTAAAATGCTCACCACAATTAAATATACCACATGAGTAAAGAATGTACTCGTCGTTACGATAAGGTACCTTAAATAGTTACTTTCATAATATAGAAATTGGAATATACCTAGATAGCTTCATTTTCATTGTCGCCTCGCATGCGTTTTTCTTGTCCGCAAGTTAACGTTACAAACTTTTTTGCTTTGATAAAGAAGCCCGTCATTCTTTTAGATCGTATGTATCAAAGTGTAAGCTTCAAGGTCCCTTCGGCTAGTAGTGTAATGTTGATTGATTGCTAGATATGTTCGCTAAACGATACCTCCAACAATTAACAGTCTCAAAACGCTACTGCCATTAGTGTTGTCTCTTCTCTAATCTATCTTTCATTAGCATTAGTGTTGCATGTCGATAAACACCATCAATAAACCATCGATACTTTTGGTGTATTATTCTAGGTACGGGCACAGAATAATAATAAGTACTACGTACAGAAGGTTTACTTCGCGAAGCTATTTAAAAAAAAAATGCTCAATGTCGTCAACAATATGGTGTGTAATTTAGCTTGTCTCAAGAGTAGAGTACCGTTTTCTTGACATACGTCAGTGATCGGTACAACGCCGATTCCATAGGGCTGACTTCGGTAAAATAATGTGTGACGTGAAGTGCGAAACTGCGGAAAATGGCGGAGGAAATACATGATTATGCATGAATTATATTTTGTGTTTCTATCCACTTGTGTATGACCACAATAGCACCTGATGTTAAGTGGGATGCAGTCTAGGATGGTACATATCTGCCTGATTGAATGGCCTGATTATTACTTTCCATCTCTTGATAGACGAAGGACAAGAGCTTCCTCGTCGTGGATAAAAAAAAACAACTCTGGCTATGTAAAATGCGGATGAAGCCGTGGGCGGAAGCTAGTTGTAGGTTTTCGTTCTTAATACCATCCCTTGTTGAAATATTTTAAATATTATTATTAAAGTAAAATGAGGAATAATAACAGGAAAGATCGTACATTAATTTCGTAAAAATTACAACATTTTTCTTCTCATTTAGAGTATTTGGGTGAGGCGGGTGACATAATTTCCTTCATCATAGGCTAAATAAATTGTGGAAAGATTCATAAAAGGAAAATATTAAATGTAAAATAATGCGTATAATCTATACCTTATAATTTATAAATTTTATGCGAAAGTGTCTGTCTGTCTTGCTTTCACGCCTAAACCACTGAACCGATTTTAATTAAATTTGGCATAGAGATAGTTTGTGTCCCGGGAAAGGACATAGGATAGTTTTTTTCCCGGTATTTGAAACAGGGACGCGCGAGATTAAGTTTTTCTTTGACAGATAAAATTCCACGCGGGCGAAGCCGCGGGCGGAAAGCTAGTAGCAATACAATGCATTAATTTCAAAGAAACTATCGTACTTATTCAAATTTAGTGCTAATTTACAACCAATTGAGTTTCTTGGAACTATAGTTGAAATAAATCCATTTGTTGTTTTGTACATTGATGTGCTCTCAACTTACAAAAGGCATGTATTTAAATGATCTTTTTAAATTAGCAAAAATGGCAAATAAAAAAATCTAAATGGTCATCTATTTTAATGATTGATCCTCTTTCTTTGAGACATAAAATAAATGAAATCGATCGATATTTTAACCTCTTTTGAACTAAGCAAAAAAAAATTGAGATGTAAAAATTATATCTGATCGTTACTTGTTGGTCCTCAAAAATATAGAAAATGAGCACCAAATATTCAATATTGTGATACTTTTTTAAATAATTCGATTTGTATAAATTATTTTTTATCTATATCAAATAATCTTCAAAATAATTATGTTATGGTACTTATTTTTATTAAGTTGTAGTCAAAGGATGGAAACTATTTCAAATTAACAAAATTAAAGATCAATAACTAAAAAAGAGGATCAAATATTATTTTTGTTTACCAAATATTAAAAGAGTATATTAAACATGAATATTATGTTACCTTTAATGAAGATCATTCATAATTTATCCGTAGATCAACTAATATAGACCCAATAATTAATATAAAGATAAAATATAATAAAAAACATCATTTATTTTTAAAAGTGCACATACAAAAAAGATCAATTAGTTTTTAGAGGATCAAATAATATTGTCCCCTTACAAAATACTGTCGTGCTAACGTCCTCTATTTTGTCTGAAGGGGTTATCTAACAAAACTTTCTAAGTCTATATTAATAATTTCGTCAAGGGGTACGGTAGACTGGATCGAAACCTTATATGAATAACAAAGCATAAAAAAATATCGATTTTGAGTCGACAACATATATCCGCAAAATTCGGATAATGGAGAATTTCGTTATATTCCGATGGCACTGACAAACAATTCAAACAAACCGCTGTCGCCATCTTTAGTAGTTCACCATCCACTCACTATGCGATCAGCGCCAAAATCTTTTTGCTGGGTTGTCATCGATCCATAAATAAATGGAGATCAGTGCGTTTCGCGATTTTTATGATATACTCTTTGTTATGTGTTTTTCCTTTAAACCTGATATGATGACCCACGCTGAACTGTCCCGCCAAACTCAATGACAGGGGGGCGCTACCATCGTTCAACTATATGGTTTCCAACATGGCAAAAATCTGAACCAGCGATCCGGTATTGACGGTGGCGCCCCACTGTCAATGTCATCGACAGGACAGTCCAGTATTTTGGAACTATATTGGCCAATTCAACCACAGAAAAAGAATATTAGCCATAACCATAAAAGTTGAAGTTCAAATGTCAGTGTCATTTAGTTTCGCACAGTGACAAATTCCAGTGACATGCAATTTTTGTAATGGCAAATTATTTGTAAGAAACTGCAAACAAATGCAAATGTGCAGTTGATGTGTGGAATGCGACAACATTATACTCGGTAAGCGGCTTAATATTTTTTTTTATTTAACCCGACAAATAGTAATAAATGACCACATGAATAGCCTGTGTTGAGTTGTTATCAACATGGGTATTACAGAAACAGACACGACGATTTTTGCACCGTTTTTTCTGATAACGGAATAGACTCCTTCATGCGCAAGTTCCACTTGAGCTCGGCTGGTTCATATAAATAATTGTGTAATATATTTTTGCAGATAATTTCAATTATTGCGAGTGTTGTGGCTTAGAAACAATTAGGCAGTTAAGAATAAACAAAGCTCTTGACTTACTTGACTTATGGTCCTATGTCCCCTAGATGGGGCAGAGGGCGTCCACAACAGTCCTCCATCTCGTTCGGTCTTGAGCTTCTCGCTTGATCTCGCTCCAGGTCTTGCCGATCTTCTTCGCCTCGTCCGCTACAGTGCGCCGCCAAGTTTGCCTGGGTCGACCACGTTTGCGTTTTCCTTGGGGATTGCAATCCAGAGCCTGCTTAGGGATGTGATCGGGGTCCCTTCGGAGAGTGTGGCCAATCCAGTTCCACTTGCGGCGCTTGATCTGCTGGTCGATCGGAATTTCGTGGCAGCGTTCCAATAGCTCGACGTTGGAGATTTTCTCGGGCCAGTATNGTTTTACCTTGAGTTTGTCCCAGTCCACAACTGTCTTCATAGTGGGTGTAGACTCAGGAGAGCCTAGTTGGAGTACGACCGGGCGATGGTCAGAAGTGAGCGCGTGCATGGTTTCTATGGAGTGTAGGCGGAGGCCTATATTCTTTAGAATTGCCATGNCATGCGAGCGGGCGGGCGAGGCGGAGCGCACGTCCGTACCGTGCGAGCGATGCGAAGCGAGCCACCGAAGGCCTCCGGGGGTCAACTGATTTTCAGTTAGATAAGAGTGACTGCAGCAGTAAAGTACATTTTTCTAACGGGAAGAGTGAAACTTTGGGTTATCTTGTGGTTAAACCCTTCTGACTTTTTCAATTATATTCTAACCTAAATCATCGTGCCATGTAAGCATAACAACAAAATGGTTCTCGCATACAGAAACAGTAATAGTCCACAGAGCCCCTCAAAAGATGGTCGCCCTACCCATACCCCGCGATAGGCGAATCGTCTAAAAGCGTTGTCTTGTACCGGGTGATGAGATGTAGCGCGTTCAACTTCGCGGGACACAGCCAATGCGACTGTTCGGAGTAATTTACCACAGTTCTCAGTTTAAACTTCTTAGATAGAGGTCATGAGCACGTTTCATTTCATCATAGATGTTCAGTTTTGTGAGAATGAAAATCTTCTTGAAATGCAAAATCTCAATACATTGCGGTTTTGGTTCGATTTTGTGGATGGATGAGCAGCTCTTGTACACAGGACCATTAGTGAAATAGGATTATGCGATATTCCTCTGTGGAAATGGTAGTTAGTTGATATTTAGGTAGATGGACCTGATTTTGATTACAACCAAACATAGAGATGCAGGCAGGGGTGTATTGTGGATGTAGAGTGTTTAGGCACATGATACTTACCAACTGAATACAAAAAGATCCACATTTTGACACCAGTTAACAGGAAATATTAGGAAAATAAACAAACAGCAGGAGTAAAAGAAAAGTTGTCCAGAAGAGTTTTGTTTCCCCGTTTATTATAAAACTTTCGAGAATCACAGTTGTAATTCATGTCAATAGCAATAAACTTTTGGATTGACATCCAAATCAGAACCCGCTTAAAAACCAATTATGTAAATGAACGCTGTGAACTGACATCTTTATTATTTTTCAGCAAACGAATAATACTTACATTGTGCCATTCAGAATAACAATACTTGCTGTACACACGAGTAATCTAAAGGGGATTAATTGTTTTTTTTTTGTCAGTTGAAAAAATAAACCTCCTCCACGAACTCACTATAGACAGAGAGCAGTGACTGTGGAACCCAGTACATTACCACGCCATCAGTGGCAGTTATTACAAATTTCTAGTATCCATCGCATCGGCCACGCCACGCGCCGTAAACGCGAACAATATCACGTAATGCCGGGTTTACACTGTGCGATGTGAAACGCAACTGGAACGTTTACTTTGGACCGCGCAATTTAAAACAGAAGTAATGTTATTCGTTTAAATATTGATATCTAGTTATTTACCTTCAATTAGGTATTTGACTGACTTTTCGTTTTGAAAAAATAAACTGTTCTTTAGTAATTCATTCATTCATCTATAGTTAATTTACATTTATTCCAAAGTTCGTCTTAATGCTTAATTAGTCTTAATTTCACTTTCTTTTATTACTTTTATTGAAAATTTACTATCTAATCATACCTACCTACCGAACGCGTTTCATAATGT